AATTCAACAATTTACAAGAAAAACATAATTTTACTAATAAAACGCTATCACTAAAAGCGATTTGTGTATAGGAGCAGTGGCAATATCGTAAAATCAACAATTTATAAGAAAAATATTATTTTACAATGCACAAAATTTATTATGTAGTACTAACAAAAATTTTACAATGCACAAAAATTTTTAGACTTTTTAAATATTTTAAGTTGCTAATTATTGTTATAATTAGTATTTTTCATTTAATAATTCAAGATAAATTTAATTTGCGTTTTAAAAATAAAAGCAAAAGCTACATGAGATGGATGATGGACAATTTTGTCATTACAATCAAAAGTATTTATATATATTGCTTTGGTCGAAGGTTGAGGAGGATATAATCATCAAAAAACATCTTGTGAAATTATTTTTCCTATTTATACTAAAGAACATGTTTCTTCATTTTTAATGAACTAATTATTTCTTATTTAATATGTTTTTTCTAAAAAATTTCATTAACTGAACATGAAAAAATTAAAAAATTTACACCGAACTCACTCAAAACCTATCCCTTTTTTCAAAAAATCTTTTTCTTTGTAGATAAGGAATATTATTATGACTTATATGAAAGGGAAAAAAATAAAACATAAATTTGGACTTTTATAATTTCTTAGAAATGGTCCAAAAAAATAAAAACTAAATTAACATCCACAAATTCCGCCATAACCAATGGCCGTCCATTTTTGGCTATTTGCTGGCAACTTTGTCGATGCCACGATTTAATTTCTTATATTTACGTAATATAATATATATATATATATATATACTACACTCCTTCTACCAAACTTGGAATCCTAACAAACTTTTTATACTAAAAAATAAAATAAAATAATTTCATGTCAACTAGTAATAGATAAATAAATAATATTAATATGCGAAGAAATTGAAATTTTAATTAGTAACATTGAAAATATAAAGAAGTAAACACATAAACGATTCAGATATAATTTTCCGCAAATAAATTCCTTGCTTCAACTTGGCTTCGCTTCGTATTATATATTCCTACCAAAGAAAATGAAGAAAAACTTTTGCTAAAAATATACCCAGACTGTCAACATTATCATTTTATAATCTAAAACTTATTATGTATTATATATTATATACAAAGAATAAGTCATTTGACCAAATAAAATTTTAATAAAATGAAAAAAGATTAGTTCCTTCCCTCTATTTGGTTTTGTAAGCTAAGTCCTTAAAAAAGCCATAAAGAAAAGGTCATCCAACTACCAACTATTCTCTCGTTTTAATTTATTTATCTTATTTATTTTTTAAATTTACTTCAAAAGAATTTTTTAATTATAATTTTTTACATGACGTGTTTAAGATTACGAAAGATTTTATTTTTTTTAAAAAAATTATATCCAATTAAAATTAGACAAATAAATTATAACGAAAAAAAGTAATACATAGGAGAGACTTTCTTTAAAAATAAAATTAAATTGTAGGTTCAACCATAACGAGAAACTTGCTTACCCAATCCAAGTAGCTTTGACTTTGAGCTTTATATTAATAAAAATACTATAAATATTATTTGATATGTATAAACAATCTCCCTAAAATTAAGTAAATAAAAATAATTATGAATAATAAAAATTTCTGATTCATCTTCACTTTTCAAGAAATTAATTGTTTCTTGCATGATAATGTATAATATATTACGTAAAAAAGAATTTTAAGAAGTTAGTGGAGTAGAATGAAGACCATTTTAAGACACCTCATTTAATGGGAAATGGCTAGCATAAACTTACTTTTGTAACAAAAAAATTGTTCATTAATAATTAAAAAAAAACACACAATACATGTAGTATAATTTCAGAATAATGAAATTTGAGAAAATTATAAATGCACTTAGATTTTATTCTTTTATATTAGGGGATAGAAAGATTGTTTTAAATATGATACAAGGCTAACATGATAGCGATTACGAATGCTTGAGTTAGAAGTTCATGGATAATTTGATCTGTATTTTAGTTAAGATATGACCGTCCATTAGCCTTAACGGTATAGTTTTTGGCGCTTTTGTAAAACATGGACATTTCCGAGCAAGTAGAGTTCTTGCATATGTGTAGGATTACACGAACAATTTAAATATCTTAAAGAGTTTGATTATTCTGAATTCATGTTATGTAGGGTTTCGGAAAAATTATCTTTTTTCATATTCAAAATTTAAATTTAAAAAATTCAGATTATAAAATAAGTTGCCTCATTCATAGCACCACATTCGTGAATGATAATGAATGTAGTTGTTAATTATGTCATGTGTCAAACTATATTGGAAGAGAAAAACAGAATTACATATTTAAAATTATAATTAATCACATACACATACGTACACACACAATCTAGTTATTTGTCTTTAATACTAGTTTGATTTTGTCTTTATTTTGATAAGTCCAAAATCTATTTCATGTTAAAAATAATTTGTCCTAAATCAATTCATTACATATATATATATATATATATATATATATATATATATATATAT